GTCTGAGGGAAGGTGGCAGACGACAGACAGGAAAGTGAGGTCCCGCAGCCTCGGTCCCCTGACCACACGCCCATCACATCACACCCAACGGGAAGTGTTCTTTTCTCCTGGTGCTCGTTCCAATCAGGTCCCTTTCCCTTGAAAGTACACGGTCCTCATACCAAAAAGAAATCAATTCTATGTTAACTGAAATTTCCCGTCTTTATATTATTTATATTTAACCCAAATAAGCTAATATTCCTTGAGGGCAGGTCATCTTTTACATATTTTAAGTCAGACAGAACAGAGTACAGGCTGCGAACATTAGCATTCCTATTCCCTGGACCCCAAAATGACACACATCTCCATTTTATCTGGGAGTCCCGAGGACATAAAAATGACCAATTCCATTACGTCTTTTTTTCTCCTTTCTATGCTCGCATGAGAGGCAGTGAAAGGCACCTGCGGGTCCCCGCTGCTCACTCGCACCTCGGGTTCTGCAAAGAGAAAGCAGGCATTCTGGTGCAGAGCGTTACATCTGGAAAGCCGGGAAGGAGGGTACCCCTGGGGTCCCATGAAAGAAAGGAGCGTCGCCCTGGATAACCCCACGCTCTCACCAGAGGGCGGCTGTGGAAGGAGACATCTTGCCAAAGAAAGAATTCGGAAGAACAAAGATTCTGGCAATTTGGACAAGAGCTGGTAGCTCTCTTAAGTGGTTTAGCATTGGCCTCTGCTGTGACCATTTTTCTTTCAACAACGCCTCACATTTGCATTGTACTAGGTTTTTGTCACCGTGGCTATTGTTTGAGACAAAGGATGGAGAAACTAGCTCAGTGCTGGCCACTTTCCACTCCAGGAAGGAAACTGAGCAAGCAGGGTAAAACCAACTGCACGAAAATATATGAGGAAATATGAACTTTATTCTCCTACCAAGGGACAGATGTAACTAGAGCCCCCGAAATGTCCCCGCACGTAAACACGCCAGCACTTCAATGGGATCAAACAGGGAACTTTCTACTCTGTGCCAGTTGCTCCTTTCTCCGGAGCACAAGCCATTTTTGTGAGTGAAACTAGAAAGAGGGAGAGTGAAAAGCAACAAAACCAAGCAGAGTAAAGTCACCCTCCAGATTCTCCTGGGGAAGCTTGAGGACACCAGCAGGCCCCCTCCCCACGACAGAGCACAGCCGCACCACTACTCCTAACGAGGAAAAAGAGGGGAGTCCACACAAAGACTGCAAAAGCTGAGCACCAAAGTAATCTGGACAATTCCTCAGTAGCCCTGGACAAACTCAGTGAGAAAGACAATTGTATTCAAATCCTATTTCAACAAATCTCATTAGAACAAATTCCCCATCCAGACACTGTCCGAACTTCCCTAATGAATGAGCAATTTCTCGATCACCTACTATGTGCCAGTCCAGGCCTGGGCCCCGCAGGGATCCCCATCACACATGTCAAGACAGCCCAGTTTTTTGGTGGTGACGCATGGTGACATGTGGTTACAGTGGCTCTTCCACTCCTTTGCCTAACATAAATGCATCCTAAAGAGGGGAACAAAGTTCTGCCACCCAAAAATATGTCTTTGGGGATTATCGATTATTCTAAACTTCTAACCTCATTTTCAGGAAACAAAAGACTCAAGAAGAGCCTTTTACTTGCCTCCCTTGACTTGCCTAAGGAATTCAAATGGAAAACCTGGTTAAAGAATGCTTTAAGGAGCTGTCCCTCAGCATAATACGATCCAAGCATGGCAGACCAAGTAGAACCTGCAACCCTGTTAGACTGTCCAGCAACCCATTGCTTCCGGGTGGCCTGGCAAGAGGTTGTTTACCAAATGTCTGGTCCTTCTCGTCGACCTGTGAGTTGCCTACCGTCCTTCTGAAGTCCAAACCACTAACCCTCCCTCTTCCTTCTTAGCTCAGGATGGCAAATGAGCCTCAACTGCCCAGTTTGTTCTCAGGTCCCGTATTCGCATGGAACCCCCATATATGCATATATAATAAGTTTTATTATTTTCTCCTGTTAACCTATTTCATGGTAATTTCTTTATTACACCAGCCAGAACTTAGAAGGGTAGAGGCAAAATTATTTTCCTCCCCTACACTACTCGCCCTTCAAGGCCCACTAAATCACTGCCTCCTCCACAGGCCTTTGACCTTTCACCCACCTCAGCCCCTAGCAGAATTTCCCTCCTTTGAGAACTCCAGTACCTGCATTTGAAGGGACATGCCATGTGTACTTGTACCATCATTACTGTGTACTGGGCTATTGCCCGTCCTGGACCACACACTCCCGGAGGGTCCCGCGGGTGTGCTCAGTGAGTTGCTCACTTCCTTGTATCCCATCATGCCTCACGCTGCAGTTCTCGGGTGTGAGCATCGTGTGGGAGCTTACTGAACCCAGGGGGGGTCTCCAGCTCCACCCCAGACTGACCTAATCAGAACGTGCACTGAGCACATTGCCAAGTGATTCTGCTATACGTTAAAGTTGGAGAAGCACTGTGACATACAATGATGCTCCGTAGGTATTTGCTATATAACAAGCCCACTTCTGCACAAAACCATCCCCCTCACCCGTCCCCCGCCGAGGGCTGCAGGGGAGCTGAGCAATAAACCCATCTTGGGCGGCAGGAGGGCCTCCACCTGGCTCTGCGTGTAGCTTGCCAGCCACAGACTCTGTGTGTTTAGGCAGCAAGCCCCTCGTTGGCTCACTCGTGCAACACTGGCTGAACGCTCGCCTGCCATGCCAGGCACTCTGCACACTCCACGTGAGCAGTCGCCTCTCAATGCACTGAGCCAGGCCTGCAGGTTTGGGAAGTTTAAATAGAAAGAGGATGGTGGGTGACTGCGGGTGTTAAGAGGCTACTAGGGTCCCTGTCCACTTTAAAACTTTCTGGGGGATTGAGAGGGACAAACCACAACTAGCCCCCACTGCCAGGACTCCGCCAGCTGCCGCACCACAGGCCTCGTTCCCAGGCAGAAACGCCGTGCACAGGGTCACTGAGACATCAGCACACACCCCAGTGACCGGGAAGGCTTGGAAACACACAATGCTGGGGCCCACCCCCGAACCTTCAGTCTCAGCACACAGCGACATACAAAGGAGAAAAATTATAGAAACGCGAAACAAAGACACATTTATTCTTTTAGCTTCCCCAATGAGGTATATCCTATCCAACCTCATTGTTCCCTTTGTTGTTTCAGAGACATTTGGAGAAAGGACTAAAGAAGTGAGGCTTCCATTTAACAAAGCCCTTTGAGAAAACCTAATCCAAAAAGTCAGCAGGTCTCGAAAAAAGGGCCGGGCCCTGGCCAGGTAGCCAGAGTGTCATCCCAATAAGCAAGACTGCAGTTCAGTCTCCCCGCAGGGCACAAACAGGAAGCAGCCAACGAATGCACGAATAGGTGGACCGACAATCCACGCCTCTCTCCTTCACTCTCTCTCCTCCCCCTTCTTCTCTCTCTAAAGAAATCAACTTTAAAAATTTAAAAAGAAAAAGAGGGCCTGGTTTCCTACCTGTGTCATAGCCTTGTATGTTACAGAAAGAGCTATGTTGTTAAAGGAAAAATACTCCAAGACTCAGCCCACGGCAGAGAAAATCAATGTGTGCAGTAGTGGAAAGCAGCAAAACTAGGCCGAACCGTGTGTCTCAGATAGAAGTCAGTGGGTGCACCCTGGTCCAAGAACAGCTCACTTGCTTTCTGCCTACAGCTGCGCTGAGATCGTGGGGGGTACTTTCCCCTTCCCAGACTTTCCTCGTCTCACCCACTCACCCTCTCCTACATCATTATGAAATCAAGACGGCCCGTAGAAAGAGGTGGGAGAGTCCACAGAGTTCCACCTCCATTCCCAAATCCTCTCCTTCCTCCCACCGCCCCACTGCCCCCCACCATGACTTTCTAAACCCAACCTCAGCAGGCTACGTAATGAGAACACCAACAGCATCGGCTCTGGGCATTTCTTAGAACCAGATTTGCAACCCCCTCTTGGAAATCATTCACCCTTTTTCTGTGGCACCCCCATTCTAATGGCCCGTGAAGCATTCTCTGGGGAGACCAGAATGGGCTCAGTTAGGTCGGAGACCCAAACCTCAAGCCTAACCAGCTTCCAGAACAATCCTTAAGCCTACATTCTATGTCTAGGTCAATCTTGGGTGTGCTAAACTTGGTTCGCACCGGGAGTATCTATCAAGTTCACAGTGTCTGGGGGAACCTGGAAGTTATTTTCTGCAGAACTGGGTGTGAAATCTTATACTCAGCATCCAAAGTCCTTCGTTAAGATCCTTCCCAGGCCAAGCACACCTGACATGCTTCCTGGGTCACAGCCTACCCTGTGTCCGCCCAGCCACCAGGTCCGCCCGAGTCTGCGTCTGGCCCAACTCCTCTGGTCCCTCGTTGTAACTGCTTCTCTGGCTTCTGACCCCTCCTCATGTCTGGTCTCATGTCATTACTTCTCCTTTCTAGTTTCAGTGCTTGGGGCCCTCTTCACGGACATGGGACAGACTTGACCCTGGCGGCACAGCCTGGCACCTTCAATCTCATCCCATTTCCTGTCTCGGGTCCCAGAGAGCGTGACGTCAAAGGGCTCAGTGAGGACTTATACTCAGAGGCATGGTAAGGTCAGACACTGTGTCTGCCTCGCTTTCTTTCCTATTCTGCCACTTTGCCTAACGTATAACAGGTGTTCGACAAATACATTCTGATGAACGAATAATTACAGGCATATCGCACCTTAGGCAGGCAGATGATGAGTTAATGTAACTTTTATTGTTCAAGTACTTTGTGTTTCCAAACAATCAATGAAGTTATATTCACAACCCAAAGGAGTCATGCTCATAACATGTTTTGAAATCCACAAAATGATAGCACTGTAGAATAGTCCCGTGTCACCGACTGGAGACGACAGAGGAAGGGACCGCACCGTTCGTCTGGGGTATAGAAGAGAGATCTGAGAAAGGAGCAGCGAGAAGGGGGGCGTTATGAGAAAAAGAAGAAATGTTCGGTAAGCACGGTCACACTCACCGTTGTCATAATCATCCTCCTCAATGGCTTTTTCTTGGAGTTTCTGTAGCTTTAATCTTAAGGAGTTAACCTATGTTGTTTGGGAGGAGAAAAAAATGAAAATCAAATTACAATCGCACTGAAACTTATTTTAGCAAAGCTAAGAGCATCCAGAAACTATTTCGAAACTGCACTTCTTTATTCGCCTTTAAAAAAAGAACCACAAATGTACATTTTTTTCCAACGCCAGATGAATCTGTTTCCCACACCAAAATAAAAGTTATATAAAGAAAGTGTAATTTGAGCATAAAATCCACAGAGTTAAAATGTTATTTTAAACAAATACATCATGCCGTACCCTTATCTACATGAAAAATGCATAAGAGAAAAGACTACAAATTTCATGACCTGACAAACACTCTCAGTTCTAAACCATCAGGTTAAAATTATGAAGGTAAATACACCATAATTGGAATAGAAGCCAGGACAAGAAGGACGAACGTCAGCTCAGCAGCCTGGGCCTCAGGCTGGGTGGGACCCAGCGCGGGGACCCCGCCAAGCCCCTGTAGGATGTCCTGAGCCTCACAGGCTTTCCCTGTCTCACTTAACCTACAATACACACAACCACCCCTTCATTTGTCAGAGAACTACTGAAGTTCATTGGTAATCAAGTCAAGCCTCGGTTCTCAAACACTTTAGTTCTCCAACAATTCAGTTCTCAACCAAGTTCTTCACAGGAAAAAAGTCTCAGTTGTCTGACAAAACTTCGGGTCTCGGTTCTCTACCGGACAACCTTCCTGGTGACACCTGTACAGTCAGTCACGTGTCCCTCGGGCAATCGACAAAGGAGATTCAGTTTCCAAACAAGTCACTTCTCAAACCATTTTCCAGAACGAATGAAGTTCGAGATCCGCGGTTCCACTGCATTTTTCTTCTCAATAGGAAGCTCAGGGATTTTTTTTGGAGATGGATTGTTGGCCTACCAATGAATGGATTTGGGCCCGTTCCCTGAAAAATGCCTTCCTCCCGTCCTTGGCTTGGCATACACCTACCTTTCCTTCAACCCCTAGCTCAGGTGCAACCCCTGCAGCCTGTGCCCAGTGTCCTTCCTTTACACTGCCACCGTCACCTGCACTGCTCCTACACAGGTGATCCCTTTAACACATATTTACTGACTGCCTCCTAGGTGTCAAGGACTATTGGGGATGCTGAGATACAGCAGGAAATTCTTCCTGTGTAGGAAGACAAAAAAATGAAGGCGATGCACAAGTTTTATAGAGACGTAATAAGTTATTTGTGCTATAAAAGAAGAAAAAGTAGACCCAAGTGAGGGGCTCAGGAATGCTGGTAGATGGGGGGGCTGCGATTTTAAATAGGGTCTCATGGAGAAGACGACATTGGAGCAGAGATTGAAAAGAGGTGACGGAGTGAACCCTGAGTCTCTGTGGGAGAAAAATGCTCCCATAGACAGCAAAGCCAGTGCCACGGCTCTGGGCAGAGCATCGCTGGCACTGCAAATTAAGAACCAGAAGGTCCTTGGGTCTCGAGAAGAGTGATTCAAGGGGAGATTGTGGGAGATGAGGTCAGAGAGGTGGTGAGAAATGCATCGCGGAGAGACATGAAGAGCATTTAAACTTCTGATTTTACTCCGAGGGTCATGGGGGGCTGTCAAAGTGTCTTGAGCAGAAAATTTGACATGTTTGAACAACTCCCTCCTGACTGCTGTGGGCAGGGGCTGAAGGAGGGAGGCAGGAGGCAGGGAAACGACCCCGGAAGGACATGATGGTGGCGTGGACCACAGTGGAAGCAGGGAAGACAGTGGCGAGGAGGGATCTCACCAGATCCCTTCTCAGGGACGCAGAAAATACCTGTGTGAAGATGACACCAACGGGACTTGCTAGCTGATCACATGTGGGAGTGAGGAAAGTCAGGATGATGTCGGGTTTTTGGTCTGAGCCCCTAGAGAATGGAGTTGCAAGAAATTATCTTGGTACTTATCACACCCTGTTAGAGCTACTGTTTCATCTGGATTTGTGTGTTTTGTTTCATTTTGTCTGTGCACCCCACTCACCCTGGAGCATCTGGAAGGCAGAACTGTTTTGAGTACATGTGGAAATGGCGGTGCCCACAGCACTTTGGTTCTCCACTGCTCTGGGCCCATGGGGGGATTACACTCCCTTCCCCTCCTCGGTCTGGTTAATGAGTGTGTGGGGAAGGGATAGAGGTCACTTCTGCACTGAAGCATTTCATTGCTCTGGCAGGGTCCCTTAGTGTTCTCCACCTTGAGAGTGACTTAGGCACCGTATGATCAGAGAGCGCAGCCTGGGGTCCTGAGTGACTCAGTGGAGCAGAGTCCCCAACCACATCTGTGCAACAGGAAGCATAAGCAAGAAACATGATTTCGTGGTGCAGAGCCCCCGATACTGTGTCGCTATTACCAGCACATTCTAACTAACACAACCTCCAAAGCAGGCACACGGTATCGCATGGCTGTCAGCGAACACCTTCTGAATGAATGCAAGGAGGAATGAACACATTAACCCCTTCATCTTTGAAGCGCTCCGTGTGACAAGTGCACATTTCCCCAGGGACTTGTCCTATATATTAGTGACCGAGGACAGGTTGCATTACCATCACCACAGCCAAATGATGGCCTCTGTAAACACCTGTAGAGCTGGAGCAGAAGAACCCCAGGAAGGGAAGGCAAAGAAAATTTCATTTACAGCCAGTGCCCACCTCACCAGCTCCCTCCCATCCAACTATCCGTGTAGGGCCCTGAGTTGATACCTTGGCATATGTGTGAATATCCATCTCTGTTGGAAGCAAAGCCACTGATGGGCAAGACTCACCCAGTGACACAGCCCTTGAAAGGCAGGTGGTTTCTCTCCTTTTCCCCTAACTACCACGCCCTGAGGCAGGGCTAACTTGTAGGGTTGCCACGCCCTGAGGCGGGGCTAACTTGTAGGGCTGCCACGCCCCGAGGCGGGGCTAAATTGTGGGCTGCCCCACCCTGGGGCGGGGCTAACTGGTAGGGTTCTCCCCATTTCCCTCCGCGGCACACCCAGGTAGCATTTCCTCTTATCAAAATCTTCTCAGCCCCACCCCAGCCCTGGTAATGTCTCTGGGTGGCTATTTTCCGACAGCATAAACTGCACATTCGTGGAAGTCATGTTCTAAAAAAGCACCAGGAACGCTCAATTAGCAATCACTGAACCATAGCTCCCGGAGAAAATACAGGGTTAGGCTCCTAAGAGCCTCGGGTCACATTTTTGTCAACCGATCGGATAAAATACAGAACCGTGTTTCATGTGCATTTCAGTTTAAAGGTGTTTTATTGACTACGTATAGTTGATTCATCACACAGAGCTCGTGGCCAACAGCGCTCCAACTCACCCCCAGACGAAGCTTCTCTGACGCGTTTTCTCTGCGTCGCAGGCGCTTTGCACTTAGGAGCAGAGAGCACTGCAGCTCTGCGCGTGGGGGCCATTTTCAACAGTGAAATGACCAAAACACACGCACGAAATAGAAAAAGTGGTACTAGACAGGCCACAAAAAGGACACTCGTTCACGGGATGAGAACTGAAACAAGCAGGCAGAAGGTCACCCTGTGCCACCTCCCCCGGGAACACGCAGAGGGAGCGACTCACGCTTTTAGCCATTCTGCGCATGTCCACACAGGGCCGGAGCGGCTTCTGAGCACTGACTGTGAAGTTACCAATAAATTTTACCAAGCATAGAAACCGCAAATACTGAGGATCGCTATTTTAAAAGAAGCTAAAAGTCAAATCCCTGAGATCTGCATTTTCAGTTTAGGAGAAGGGAAAGGGGATTAAGTAATATTCTAATATTCTAAGGAACTAGAGTATAATATCTAAAGGGCCCCAAAACACTAGAATCCCAATTTTTCAAAGGATCTTTTTGATGATCCTTGGCCAAGCCCTCTCCCCAGTCATGCCGGCCTCCCTGGACTGCCCTCCTCATGGACAACTCCAGCCACCAGCCAGGGGCCTCTCCCTCCCTCCTTAGTTCTGTGCCTGGGACAGAGTGCTTTCCATCACTGAGTAAGCGTCATTCCTCCTTCACACAACAGGCACCAAATCATGGAAAACAGCATCGTGTCTTCCCTCGTCCCGGCATCAGGGGACCACAAACAAAGATACTTGAACTACAGATGAGTATGTCCCAATGCCATCATTTGACTTTCAGCTGGCGTCCGAGAGTGGGTTGGCGCGTGGGGAGAGACACTTCGTGGGACCTCACCCTGTGGGACGGGATGCTACCTCCAGGGAAACAGTGTCAGCATCTAATTCAACTTCAGGACACCCAGCTGGCGCTGGAGACGCCTCCACAGGTTACAAGTGGTGACCGGAACCACCTTAATGCCTTTGTCTTTGTGTGTCTGCCTCTTAGCTTCTGTGCTTACCCTTTAGATAATCAATCTAAAAATATCTGTCCGTTAGAATCTGCGGCCCATCGTATCAAGATTAACCTCACTAAAACAAAAATGAATCACGCACCTGTTGAGGGCCAAGAAACATGCTAGTCAACTCACATCCGAAAACGTCTAAAAAACGTGACCTGTAGTTACAGAGCTCATGGTCCAGTGTGGAATTCGGACCCACAAACAAATTATTGTTGGCCGTGGGGAGTGCCGTAATGGGGTGCGTCCAACGTGCTTTGGAAACAACACGGAAGGAGGGATTCGTGTGGTCGAGAGGTGGGAGGAGACGCCTCACAAGGAAGTGGCTTTGGAGCCACAGTAGAAGGTGCTTAGTGGGTGGGCAAGTGCAGGAAGGAAATCCTGCAGGAGGAAAACTGTGAGCAGAGGCCTGAGGCCCAGCTGTCCCTGGCGTCTTCAGGAGCAGGAAGCCGCACCAGATGGCCGAGCGGCAGGGGGACGCACGGGGCAGCGGCAGCAGCAGCAGCGGGCTGGGTGGGGAAGGTCTCCATTACTGAGAAAAGGCACTTGAATACCACCCCTCAGGACAATGAGCTGCCAAAGGTTTTAAACCAAGAAATTAACACTATCCCACCACTGCTTGGGAAAATGACCCTGCTAGCCGTGCAGAGGATGAACTGGAGGGAGGCAAACATGCCAAGACTCTCTTGCAAGATCCAGGTGCAAGATAACAAGGATCTGAACCAGGGCTGAGGTGTGGCCATGGCTGTGGCTGCCGGAGGTGGGTTAGCTGTAGGACTAAGAGGGCTTAGAGACTGACATCACACAGGAGGGTTGACAATGCATGCAGTTCCTCAAGGAGCTGAATGGATGAATTCTATTACTTCAAAGCCACAAATAGCTATTGAGGGGGGCCCTTTAGAACAGTTTGACGGGGAAGACAATGGCATCTGTGTTGGATGTGTCTGACTCAAGGATCCCACGCGTTACCTGGAAACAGGGACCTGCATGTCTGGCCTGGCTTTGCTACATCCCTGGGTTCCAGATCGGACCACTGGGCTGAGGCCCTAAGGGCCAGAACATCAGGACACTGGTAAAGAATTGAAAGTAAATGAGATGCAATTGCTGGGAATGAACGTGACCCTCGCATTTTCAGGTACTTCTACCAAATGCCTGAGGAGTGGGTGCCCTACTCCCCCTGCTCATGTGTACCCATATATGCGTGCACACACATGCACAGACGTTTACATGTACAGACACGCTCTCCGGAAGGAAAGCACAGTCTTTCGCTAGGATGAGCCACACAGCCCAGGGGGTCAGCCACAGAGCACCTCTGCCTGGGTTTCTCCGGGAACTCTGGGGGCAGAACCGTCCTGCCCCCCTGCTCACAGTGGGCCACAGCTCTCGGACAGCTGGATGGACGGCACCAGCGCCATCCCGGTGCTTGGACTTACAAGTACACAGTCTACCCTAATTTCCAAAGCACTGACATTCTCATCCGAGCCACAGAACAATCCTGTGCAGTGGCATCATCCATAAATGAGGACGCTGAGAGGTTTAATGACCGGAAACGGACTCTGGCAGGCAGTTCCCACAGCAGAAGGACCACGCCCGACACAGGCATCGGGGCTGTACATCCCGTGACCCTCACACCAGCCGGCTCCACCCCCTGCTCCCGGCCTGTTTTCCTTTCTGAAGCAGAGCTGGGTTGCACTAACCATGCACCACCTTGGCCAGGAACGGCAGGGGAGCCCGCAGCCCAAATCTGAACACCGACATGACAGAGGAGATGAAATGAGAACAGATTTGCGTTCAAATGGAGAGGACACAGAAGCGCCACAAGGAGGGGCTGCAGCCCTGGGGGGAAGTCAGTCCACCCCAGAACCACTCACTTCCTGCCCCCTGCCTAATCTGCGCTTGTGACCCTGGTGCGGCCCAGGGGCTGGGCAGACACTGACCTCCAGCTGCCTGCGGTTGCTGAGCTGACACTCCAGCAGCAGGGGCTCGCATTTCCGGAGCAGCAGGTCCCAGTGCAGAGCATCGCCCTCGAAGGCCGAGGGGCCCTGGGAGCAGCGGGAGGCAGCGCCTATGTCCAGCACAGAGGGGGGCTCACACGCCAGCCCGGGGCTGCCCCCTGCAGTCTGGGCAGAGTCTGCAGAGCCCTGAGGAGCCTTGAGACTGAAGGCGGAAGAGAAAAGACTGGGGTCCTCATGCAGCCTGTCCAAGCCGGCAGCCTTGGCTTCCGCGTCCTCGGCCTCTCTGAATGGTGGGCAGCCTTCGGCTTCTCCACGTTCCCCGGCAGCGCAGAGTGAGAGCTGGATGAAGCTGAAGCTGGAGGTGAAGGCCTCCTGGGAGCTGGCAGGGGCTGAGGGGGCCTTGGGGCCACTTCCGGGGCTGCAGCTGCTGCCACTCACCTCCTCTGGGGCTGGACAGACTTTGGTCTGAGTGTTCCTTGCTCCTTCACCGCAGGTGGCATCATGACAAGGGCCAGAAGCCTCAGCACTGTCCATGGGTGGGAGCTCCCCCTGACACCCAGGGCCGCACAACCTGGTCAGCCTATTGGGCAGTTTGAACTGAATCCCACAGAGCCCCGAGGTCCGTCTCGCCGGGGCCGGAGCGAGGCCTCGGCGGCCCGGGCAGGTTCCAGCTGAGGCTGCTGGGCTCCTGGGAAGAAGGCTCCCAACCAAGGGGCCTCGCCACTGGCCTCCAGGTTCAAGGCCACACTGTCGTCCAGCCCTGGACTCAGAGTGGTGGGACTCTTCACCACATGCCCCTCCCTGGGCCCGGAAGGAGGTGCCCACGGCGGGGGAGAGGAACCTGATCTGGGGCGCAGCTTCGCTTCTCATGTAGCCGGGTTTCCGTGCCAGCCGCCTCCTCCGAAACGACGCCGCAGGTGGCCAGCAGTCCTGGCTGCCTGGGAAGACACAAAGCAGCACGTTAAACATGCAGTCTCACTGGCTGGGTGGGAGCCGTGTTTGCAGGACATCCCCAGGTTTAGAGGTCATCTCTGGGTGCATCTGAGATGCCGGCTCAGGGTCGGGGGCCACCCGGTACGAGAATTCTGATGATCCTGGGAAGCGTTTGCTTGTCTGCGTAGAAACAGTACAGCGCCCCAGTGCCCGTCCGGCAGAGCAGCTGGCGTGGCCGTGAGCCGTGCCAACACGCCAGCTTGCACACGGGAGCCGCAACCTCGGCAGCTCCTCTCACCCTGCAGCCTCTCGCCCGTTGGCTTTGCAGGCACGTCAGCACTTCCATCCCGGACTCAGCCCAGAGAGCAATGGCCTGGAACTGAACGCCAGCGTCTCCTCGAGATGTGGCCCGGTCACTTATTCTAGCTGCTCAGCGAGCAGTCTGTGAGTTTTCGTTATCAGAGCTATCCGTGCCCCTGCACACCGGGGGGCCGTGGCCAGCTGGCCGTGACGTAAGTTACACGATGAGTTCATCTCACAGAGTGGATGACAGGGGGCTCTGTTTGATGTGTCCCCAAACCAAGGGCCGTGCTCCCCTCCCGGCTCTGCAACGGAAATGGGGACAAGAAAAATGCTGACGTCCCACAGAAGCAGGAAGCAGGAAGTAGGAAGCAGGAAGTCTGGCACCTCACTGCCCAGTTCAAAACCTGGCTGTGCCACTGCTGGCTGTGTGACCTTCCACTAGTTACTTAATCTCTCTGTGCCTCAGTTCGCTTACCAGTAAAATGGAGACGGCAACAGTACCTCTCTCCCAGGGTGGTCGTGAGCATTAAGTGGGGTGAGTTACTGTATGTCAACAGTTGAGAACAGTGCCTGGTACGCGTAATAAGTGTGATAAAAGTGCTCGTTATTGTTTTTACATTGCATAGCACCTTGTTACTTAACAAGAGTTTTCATCCACACTGACTTCTTCTATTCCCCACTGAAATTATGTAAATTAACCAAACCAGGAAAATAACTCCCCTTTTATAGTTAAGGAAAATGAGGCTCAGAGAAATGGGCATTCTGGAAAAGCCTGCCCGGGGCCGAGCGCCCAATTCCCCGAGTGCACTGGTCCACGGGGTGCCCTCCCCACGGGCCCCGCTGCACCTGGCATCGGAGGAGAAGGGAGGTGGGAAAGGAAGACCTGACGGTGTTGACCGAGGCTGCAGGCACGCTGCGGCTGGGGCGAGCAGGGGCCGGAAGCCTTGCCCCAGGCCCCACACCTTGCTCTGCCTCCCAGAGCACAGCTGGTCCCAGGACCTTGTGGCGATAAACACAGCGCTAGGTGTTTAGGGTCAGGCTGGGTCACAATCACGGCACATGCCCATCTCTGGGGAATGGGGACCATTGACAAGCCCCAGGGAAATGAGCCCCAGGGCCATGGACCGTCTGCTCCCTGAACTGGAGCACCCAGGGACAAGAGAGTCCCGGACGTGTTCGCCTGGTGGCCTGTTCTTGCCAACTGCAGGGCCCCAGGAAAGGCTCACGTCGCGGTGCACGCAGAGTTCTGGAAGCTCGCTGCGAAGGTGGGGGATGAAGCAAGCGCTAAGAGTGGGCAGGAGAGGAGTCAGGATAAAACGAGGGAGGGAGGCATTAACATCACAGCCCCAGAAGCTCCGTACCATTTTCATTTGATAAATAATGAAATTACAGTTCAGGTTTTCATTTTCCCCAGAACTCCCGGTCACAGATTGCCAAAACATGCTTTGCTCATTACTGAATAATAAGCCAGCACAATGCCTCGCACTGCAGTTGCCTGATGAATGGTGAATGGACACATGGATGCTTGGATGGATGAGTGGACGGGACGGGGGGGGGGGAGGAAAGGAGGGAGGGAGAACTGAGGCCTGTCTGATCCTGAATCACATGCTCTTTCTATATACTTTGCCTCCAAGTATATAACTTCGGATGATAACTTGAAGTGACAGGAAATCAGAAAAAAAGTTTTATTTTTCTTTCTTCCACAGGAAAAAGGCCACAGAAAGTTGGCCTCAGTAGAAAAGGACACGATGCAAGGGCACGGAAGGAATCATGGACAGGCCAAATTGGACCACCCATCAGGATGGCTACTAGCGAACAAAAGAGAACAAAAAACGGCCCATCCACACAAGGGACTATTATTCAGCCTTAAAGAGGGAGGAAATTCTGACACATCCTACGTGGATGGAACTTGAGGACCGCATGCTAAGTCAATTAAACCAGGCACAAAAGGACACACACTGTGTGATTCCACCCACATGAGGCCCCTGGAGGAGTCAGAGTCACAGAGACCAAAGGCAGAGGGGTGGCTGCCAGGGGCCGGGCGCAGGCAGGGAGGCGGGGGTGGGCAGGCAGATGGGAGTGGACAGCGGGGATTATTGCTTCATGGGAGCGGAGCGTCGGTGTGGGAAGATAAAAAAGTTGTAGGGGTGGATGGTGGAACCATCCTTAATGTCACTAAACTGTCCACTGAGAAATGGTTAAGGGCGGAAATGCTAGGTTATATGTATTTCACCACAAAACCGTCCTCACGTTTTAATAGACCAAATCGGGTCGCCATGCTGTCTGGTCCAGAGGAGACCCCACCGTTTTCCTCGGGGGGTTTACTTCCCAAGGATGTCCCCTGCATGTGGGATCCTGGCCAGAGAGACAATCCGCACCGGGAGGGAGAGCTCAGGAGGGACTGGACGGAAGCCGAGGAGGACTAGCTCCCGCAGGCCCTATAAAACTGGCAAAGAACTTTTAAAGAGCAATGAATCCAAATGGAATTAGAGAGAACATTGACTTCTGGTTCCAATTACCAAAGGAAAGCAATTCAGCAATGTCCTATCTTCAGAAAGTTGTCCTGTAAACTCTTTATTGTCTTTTGGCTTAAAAAGGCTTAGAACTGTTTTTTTAATGCAAGTACCAGTCCCTGAAATAACCCTTCCAAAGGGGAGAGAGCAATGCTTGCGGAAAACGCCCGAGGTCACTTGGGCCTGAGTGGCTTTTCTGGAGCCAGTGGCTGGAGGGGTCTGAGGACGCCCACGCCGGCTCCAGCCGCTGCAGGAACCGCGCTCCTGTCCGGGTTCTGGGGAGACGCCCCCTGGCCCCAGAGTTAAAGCACAGAAAGAGGCAGGGGCAGCGGAGGGCCTCACTCCTGCGCCCACCTGAGCACTCAGACGTCCTGTCCCCGGTGGTGGCCCAAGACGCAGCAACTGACCCCGATGATGGATCCTAACCCTCAGAAGAGGGCAGGGGGGCTGAGAGAGCCAGATCTGGAGGGGGCTTCTGGAACGAGCAAGGAGGACTGGATGGAACCCACACAGGACAGGCAGCCACTGCGAAACCTCTTCTAGGAACAGCCCCAGTTTCCCATAACCAAACTCCCTTTTCCACTTTAAAAATCTTTTTTATTTTTTGAAGAAACTCACGATGTCCTCCCTACCTGCAACCCCACCTGGTGGACGTGTTTAAAACCCAAGGCCTTCCCCAGCACCCTGCAGTCAGAAAGGGCTAGGGCGCAGTCAGACCCTGGGGAGGAAGACTCTTTTCCAACACAGAACTGCTCGGGGGGCAGGCAGTTGATGGGGGCCGGGCCAGGGGAGGCCCGCCCGAGTGCCGGCGGGCTTTGCGAGTTGGTCCAGGGAAACCAGGTGGACCCCGTGTTCTTTGTAATCCGGAAGGGAGCTTCATTCTGCCCATCTGGCCCCAAAAGCCTGAGGAGGAAGAGCGCCTGACACAGCCTCCCCCTCCCTCACAGCCTCCCCCTCCCCCACAACCCTGAACGCTGGCCTCTCCACCATAGATTCTGGGGAAGGGGCACAGCTTTATTGGTCCCTGGTTATGAAGGATCCCCAACTGCACCTCCATCTCGCCCGGTGAGTTCTGAGATCAAAGAACAGTGAGAGACAGAAGCTTAGAGTAGACCCAGATGTCAAAGGGAGACAAGATAGTTACACGTCAGGAGAATTTCTGACAGGTGGCCAAAGGGAAACTGAGGCAGGTTAATTAGACAAATGCGGCCAAACAATTGGAACCATTTACAGCCAGCTAGTAAATTGCAATATCTTATCTTCTCCAACCAAGGACACTTGAGAGCAAACGGTTTACACCTCTCCTTCCCGACTAGAGAGTAAATAATTTAAATCACCGTGGTCTGGGAGATGACAACAGACACCCAGCTGATGCCATCTGTGCCAGGCACACCCAAGGACAGGTGAAGTCAGGGGAATAAATAGCAAAAGGCCCAAACAGAACCAAACTCAAGGCAGAGGTAAAACTGACCAGGAAATGACCCCGGTACCCCTACATTCTCATTTGCTGCACCAACATATTAAAGGACATGCCTGGGAAGCTGACGGATGTTCTGCTGAGACCCACCCCGAGGATGCGCACCTTGAGAAAACAGATAAGAACCCTCAACAAAGGACCCAGACTGCTCTCCTGGGAGTGCGCCCACGCCCTTCCTCTGGGGTGTGTGTTTTGCTCCCTCCTCACCTCTAAGGGACTTCACGAGACTTGCAACCAGGGGAGCAGCAGGCAGTGGCAGCGGGTCCCTGGCTGACCCCCTGAATCTGTCTCCAAGGCCCCCTTTTCTAGACCTCCAGTGAGTTAACAGCAGCCCTGCCGAGGCTCACGTCTTTCACTGTGGTTCTTCTCTCTCGCTGAGTCCACGCAGCCCCGGGTGGCTCACTCCTCTCCTATAACACTCCTAGGAGCCAAAACAGCACCACATAGACTCTCTCTTGTTGCTTCATCTCCCCTACGCCCTTCCTTGTTTCTCTGTCCTCAGCTTCAGTAAACGTACTCTCAAAATCGCCTGGACTCGTGTTGTGAAATCATTCCTGCATGAAGTCAAAAACCCACATGCTACAAGCCGGCCTGAGGCAGACCCACTCAGGGCAAGGTCCCTTTCCGGTGACAAAGCGGCCGCTGTTTACAGTGTGGACAAGGTGCCTGGAACATCTGCCTACTTAACTTACAGGAAAAATGGGGGAACCAG